AACTTTAATCTTCCAGGTTATAGAAGTGCATCTATTGTGTTTTGGCCATCTGCTCTGGTTAATGAAGATATTAAGAAAGTTTGTGCTGTTTATCAGTTGCTCTTGGTGCAAATGGATACAGGGGCTGAGGAAATGAGAGCTAAAACTAGGGGTGTAAAGAGTGTTTATATTATACTGACACAGTGTCCAGCAACCAGAATCTAAGACTCTTGTACATCAGTTGAAGAAGATAGGTATATATCACCCTGCATCCATCAGCACATGAAGGGCAGAAGCACAGACACTGTGTCAGTGGAAAGGGTGGAAATGGAGCTGCTGGTGCTTCAGTGTGAGGGAAGGCTTTGAGCTGGGCCCCAAAGTCCCTCCAGTTTTCTTCCCTGTGACTAGAATGCCCAGAATATATCTTAACTATTACAGACTTGTCACTTTACAACTGATGGTATTTTTTTAAAAAGTGTCATTATGTATATCAACTCAGGGAAATCTGGGTTGACTTTTCATAGCATTTTATTACAGTGGCATGCTTCCCTTAGTCCTCTAGTGGAGATATAAACCAGTGATTGTAAAGTAAAATAAATGAACTGGCACATAGATATTACACCTCCTGTAGTAATGTAGGCAATATTAATAGTAGGGTCTGGAGACATCTAAATCACAGAAGAGATGAGACCTCTAAACAAAGACTTCTGCAGGTTTAAAAGTGTTTGTAGAAATTCTGGATTTGTTTCTTTCCTTGCACTGCTGCTTTTTTTAGGAAGGTTGTTTGGAAGTTTTATTTCTTAGATAAACAAGCCATCATATGAGTTCAGAGGAACATCAAAATTTGTGTTTGTGGAGCAAACACAAGGGACCCAGCAAAGCTGGGAGCCCTGCAGCATTCCTGCATCCATTGCTGCACCCATGGCACTAAGGTCAACATTTCCAAAGCCAATATTTTCATTTCAGGTGTCCCACATGACTGCAACCCTGCTGTCTGCAGCTGGTTTTACCACCGTAAGCCACCTAATCTCCCATGTAATGTCACTCCACATATCTCACTATGCTGTCACTCCCACCACAGGGCTGCAGGCAGCTCCGGCTGGCAAGCATGCTGCAGCTTTCCAGTACTGGAATCCATGTAATCCATGGTGCTTAAAGTAAAGATGCTGCTTGTAAACTCCAATTACATTTTACATTACTCTGCTGTGTGCTTGTAAAAACAGCATTGCTTCAGGAAGGTTTCACTGCATGAGCACCAGGAAATTTCGATCTTTAACCATCTCAGCCTAACAGTGAGGAACTATGATCAATGCTTGACAGCCTGCTTAATTCAAATGCAAATGTAATACCCTGTCAGTCACGGGAGAAAGCAAATTAAATAAAGACATCTCCCATGACATGGGCAATTAAATAGTTGTTTTTCCTCTTGCTGTGCAAAGATTTTCCTTAATTTCCTGTCCCTTGCTGGGACAGCCTTGGCTTTTCTTGCCGGGCTAGAAGCTCAGGTGTCGCTGCTCTCACGGGTGCCTCTGTACCGCTTATCCTTGCACTGAGGAGGAGGTGGAGAAGGAGGAGGGCAGAACCCAAATTCCCATTTTTTCTGGGATAAGCTGTGCAGTAGCTGAAGAAACCACTGTCTCGACAGTGCAGAGCAGCAGGGCAGACAGTTGTCCTTCCCCTACCAACCTCATTTACAGTGTTTCTAAAACACACAAACATCATGCACACACATGGGCTGCTTGTTTCCTCGCTCTTGTATACTCAGCACTGGCGCCTTATCACTCATGGAAGGTGGCTGGAGGCACAGCACATGCCGTAACCCTCTCCTGCCTGCTCTGAAAGTGTGGCACACTTGCAGGAAAACAGGTGTCTCCCGACAGCTCCCACTGCTCCTGCTCACGCAGCCAGACAGATGCAAGCACTGTGCAGACAGTGGAGAGGTCCCAGAGGAATACATTTATAATATTGTTAACTCTTTTTTGCCCTTTCTCACATATTTCTGAAATAACAATGAAATCTGAAGGAAAGCTCATGATTGTACACAGACTCATCCTAAGCACCCAGGGACCCTCTGGCTGTCCCTTGCTGCTCAAACCTGTGCAGGCATGTCCAGCTGTGTCCAAACATGCACAGAGCACTTGCAGGCTGGGAGGCTCCCACTCAGGAAAAGCTGAGGTCAGCAGTTTGTCCCTCTCTTTCTCCTTGAGAAATGTGCAAGTGAACAGTCAATCCTCTGGACAACCCCTCATTCTGCTGGGTCAAACCACTGAGCAGCTTTAGGTGCTTGTGCTGGAGGCTGGCGTTTGCAGGCACTGGCAGATGAGAGATTCCTAACACAGGGCAAAGTGGAAATGGAAATAATGCAAGTATACCTCAGGAAGGCATATACTCATGCACTGATGATGTGCAAAAACCTACTAAAACTGGGCTCCTTGTTTTCAGAAGGTGATCCGACACACCCAGGACGATCTGTGCCATTGTTGTAATGTAGCATAAGTGTCTCACAGTCTCACATACTCTATCTGCCCATCACACCTACCCACTGCCTTTCACCTTGTGTTTCAATGGTCATGTCTCTAGAAATGACCCTCAATATCACACTCCAATGCTTTTCTTTACACATCAGACTTCTGTTCCCTGTGATGTCTCTCTAGGCATCACCATGGTATGTTCAGTAATGACAGCAGTTGTTTCCATTTGCTTTTGTCAATGTAAGGATACTGAAACCAAGAGGGTTTTATGATAATTTTTTGCAAATGATGAATTATAGACAAAAGGTCTGTAGTACACTGACAGGTCTCCCTTTCCTTGGAGATAGTGCCATGTTATGCTATTCAGAGCAGGAGGTTTAGGAGACTTTTTTTTTTACATGGCCTATGGCTTTGATTAGTGAGAACAAGGACATTCATACACCTCATGTGTGCATCTCAGGTAGGATTCATCTCACTGAACATTAATCATCTCACCACCACAACCCTTTTTTCTGTTTCGCTTCATGCAGTGTCATGTCTGTCATCAGAAGTGGGTGTCTATGAAACCACCCCTACATGTCAGGCTCAGCATCTCACCTGCAGGTGTTGGGCTTCCAGACCCTCCACAGCCCCCAGCTAGCATCACCATGCTGGTTCACATTCAACTCACATTTTGTAAGTTTTCCCTTTATGTTTTAAGGTTATTTCCCTAATGATTCTGACATGATTAATACTGGGGTCTGGAGTTCAGGGTGACAGCTTTAAGGAACTAGACTGTGAGCTGACAAAATGTAGACTATTATTATTGCATTATATTGTATTATTTTGTAACAAATTCAGCCCAACACTGCAGATAATTTATGGAAATAGAACTTCTGCAAACTTAACAGATAAGGGACACTTGTGTTACAAATGCACAGCATATTAGATTCACAGACCTAACAAAGTTACAAGTTTCATTATTATCTCCTTCAGCAGTGGACCACAGATGCATTAGAAGAGGGTAAAATGATCCCTTGGAAATGGAAACATTTGATCATCAGTGCAGCATGATGGTTAACAGGTTCCTGATAAAGCTGAAGTTCAGAACTTGAAGACACAAACCCCCAAGCTTGGCACAGCTGCTGTTTTCTGTTCTGTTCTAACACTTCAGGCAAAAAGTGCTATTGATGTGCTGCTCAGTAAAAGCATTTACAATGTTTACTTTATGTAGCATGTGATCAGATAGCAATAAATATCTCTAACATAATCTTCTTTACAATGCATTTTTCTTTTACTTACACCCCTTAAAACAACTTACATTAAAGCTTTCGGAAGATGTATTTTCCTGGAGAGATACTTATTGTTTTCCCAACATTTTCTGCAGAGTGATCAGAGGGGCTCCAGACACTACATAAAGCACCACATCAAACTCAGGAGCAAAAGTGCATGTGGTCTTCCACTAGTGCAGTTTTCCTACCTTTACAGAACTTTAAAGCATATTGCTTTAAGACTTTTATCCATACATAGGCCTGTTTGTAATCTGCTACTGGGACAGACAGTGCTATTTTTATATATCCCAACACAGAGGAGAGGACAAACATATTGACCATTCTGTCTCTGTAACACTGAGGAGTTACTGCTTTTGTTGAGACTGCAAAAAGTATATTGAAATATGTGTGTGAAGTACATTGAAATCTGCACAAAAGTAATCTGATGTTTTTAAGCAGCTTAGCAAGAGACAGTTGCATGCAAGAGACTACCCAAAGCAAACGTAGTTTCACTTATTTGTGAGCAAGAATACAATCCCCATGTCTTTTTTGATCACAACAAAACTGAAATAATTTTTCACTCAGTACTTCTGTGCCACTTCAGCATGGTGATTATGTGTTCCTTAATCTCTTTTGGAAGTATTCATAAAATAAACTAGCGTATTTACTACACATTATTTTTTACTAAACATTATTGGAAAATGAAGTTTCTGAACTAAAAACACGGATCAGTTTTGACTAGATAAGGGGCAAACTGTTTAACCAAGGGAAATACACTGGCTATAGCAAGTGCGATTCCTGGCTTCAGGCAAGCTAATTTGAATATTTGAAAAATATTTTATTAAATATTGTCTCACATATTATTAACTTTAAGGAAGCAAGCCACTAGAAAAAATTGATTCTCATTGCACCTTAAATTGCTGCTCCAGTGCCTTCACACTTCATGAAGCATGGATCAATTATCTTATTGGCAAATATGAACATGCTATCTTTTAGCAGAGCTTCATTAATGGCATTTTCTCTCTCGGTCTTTAGCTTGATCTGCTCTTCTCCCTCTTTGAATTAATGTAGACTATTAGCTAAATTGCACAAACATTTAGTTTAGAAAAAGTATTCTGTGTTCAGTCTGCATCCTCCCCAAGTTGTATGCTAATATTCATCAGAAATCACCTGAGGTGGTTCTTCTTCCCTCATCACAATAAAAATAAACATTATACCTGAAAATACAAACTAATAATTGTGCATTTTATGGAGTCATATTATGCAGGCTTCTTTTCAAGGTAACAGCAGCCAAGCTTACCTGTCAGCTGAGAGAGCAGTGAGAGTAAAGACTGACACCCCTACAGAGGTGAGCTGTATGAAGGGGATAAGTTTGCATCCAGTTCTGCCAAACAGCCACTCATCAGCAAGGTACCTGCTGGCATCCACAGGCACACAAGTCACTAAAAGCAGCAGGTCTCCCAGAGCCAAACTGGAAATGAACAAATTAGGGACATTTCTCATGGATTTCACAGTACAGAATATCTTAATCAAAGTGATATTGCCAATAAGGCCTATCAGAATGATGATCCCATAGATAGTGGGGATGGCATAGAGGAACGCTGGGTAAAACCAGTCTTCCCCCAGGAGTGAAAAGTTTGCACTCTGGTTGACAGAGATATTATAGAAAATGAAGTTATCTGTTTCTAGGTCTAGCAGAAGGCACTCTCCAGATGCCATCGTCCTGTTTTACTCTTCTCGGAAAACAGCTTTCTTCTTTGAAAGTCCTCAAATTCCTTAAATTAATTTCTTGCTTTAATTTTGCTGCTCCTTGCTGGCTTTAAACAGTCAGAAGAGTTTAAAAGTCATATTACTTTGTGACACATCTTGTGAATAACCCAACCAAAAAGCACCTGCAGCTTGCTCCACAGTCCTGTTTCCATAAGGTGAAAGGAGAACATGTTTTAGCATTGTTTGAATTGTGAAACTTGCATTTTCCTCCTTGACTTCTCTTGCTGTTAAGTATTCCTCAGCTCTGGAAGGCCAATTATCAAATTCAAAGACCAGCAAGTGGCAGGCATTTTCGCAAACGGGGCTCGTTAAACTCCCAGCTTCGGCTCTGCCCGGCAGCCCCGAGTCCGAAAGCGGGGAGTTAGAGAAAGCGAGAACTTTCGGGAGTTGCTGCCACGCTGCACCGCCAGTGTCTCCCGCTTTCGGTGCCTGCCATCGCCAGCCGGATTTAAAGCGCGGGGGGAAAGCGGGGCCCGGCTGGCGGCTCGGATCCCATAGGCAGGATGTTCCGGACGTCAATCCTTGCGCTGCTTCCCACGGTGTGCGCGGCTGCCGGGAGCGCCGGGAGCGCCGGAGCAGCGCCGGCCGCCTGCTGGATGCTCCGGGCAGCGCGGGGCCCCGCCGCCCTTAACTCTTTAGGTGACAAAATACACATCTGCTCACCTAGGGCTCCCGACGTGCGTCATCGGCTCGCCACCCACTCCCTCCCCCCTCAAAAAATCCAACCCCAAATCTCCCCTCCCTCAAAAATAACTCACCAAATCCCACCCCCGCCCCCCCGCCTCCCGCCCCCAACAAACCCACCAAAACCAAAGAGTCAAACCCACATAAATCAACCAACCAAACAAAACCAAATGCAGGTAATTTCATACTGCAAACAATGTGCTTAGAAAAGCCATCCCACTTTCTCAACTAAAAGCACACCTATTTTCATTATACTCTGGTATTCGATTATTCCAATGAAAGAGAATGATGATATAAAGCCAAATTCATCTTCCCCTCTCCTGCCTAGGCAAGTGAAATTAATACAGACAATTAAGATAAAACCCAACATTGTCGTTAAGGTAGACAAATGAATGTTAGCACTGTGAGCCTGAAGTTATACAGGCAAACCTTAACTCTGCACACTTTTATGCCATTTTTTAAATTTGGAAGCAACAATGCTGAGAGACAAAGTTCACCATTCTATGCAATAATTTCCATAGATAATGCATGTTGAGATACAACAGAAAGAAATTTTCTTGGCTTATAACAGTCTAAAATACTCCTTTTAAAAATTGAATGAAGATACAACTATCACTGATGGCTTATTGCTTTATAACAGACCATTTATGAATGTACACAACGACTTTCTGGATTGCTGAGATACATAGTTAATTTGGAAACCAGCCTGCAGAATTAAATAAAGCTGTACTTTACATTTTCTCTCAAAACTGCTCATTTTTGCAGGCAAAAGAATGTTTCACCAACTGCTAGAGTTACTTGGAAGTGAGAGGGGAGGAGATTCAAAGCAGGCATTAAAGTGTGATCACTGGTTACTGCATAAAAGAAGCATTTCAGGACACATTCTGGAAAATCTCCAGGGGTTTGAAAGTGGTGTCCCATGGTGGGATTTGAAGCAGGAGGTTTCAATAGCTGTTTTTCTGCTTCATTCTCGTGACCTGGGTCAGTGTTTTCAGCTGTTTTTCTGCTGTCCATTCTAAGTCAACAAAGGACTTATGTGTACCCTTAACTTTAAGTAGGGCTACTTACATATATTTTTCAAGCCAAACACACATGACAATGCTGTGCTGATAGCTTGAGAGTGCACAGGATAAGCCAAATTTTCTAGTATTCTTTTCAGAGAGAAGCCTACTTTTAAGAAAAGGCTGGAGGCTACCACGGTTAAAAGCAGAGGACGCAGAGCAACTGTGCACACATTCTGATCGGGGCACACGGGCACTTCTGCGGGTCAGGGCCAGCTCTGGGCGGGGCTGCCAGGTTGGGTGGATGCCATTTGGAGGCAATGCCGTGTTTGGCACAGCAGAGCCAAAGGCACAGAGAGGAACTGTGGAGCTACTGAAGCAGCCCTGCCACACACCATGGTAGGACACATCTCCCAGAATATCCCCCAGCATACCTGGGAGCCTGGTGATAGGGGCTGCATGACGAAGGGGTGCACACCTCCCCCCTCCCTCCCCCCACATTTTGCCTTTGGAGCATTGGGATAAAGGGGAGAGGACACTTCTGGAAGTGGGAGCAGCCACTTGGTGTAACCCTGATGGACCCCTGTGCCCAGCAGCCTGGTCAGTAATTGGCAGTGATCCATCCTGAGTAGGAGGTGAGGACTTCTTGTCTCTTTTCCCATTCAAATGACTTGTTGACACTGGGATTTGTAAACCCACCACTCAGAGATATAACATCTCTAGCTCCCACCACAAGCCTTTATTTTTCAGATGGAAAACAAAGTGGTCAGTTTGACAAAAATCCTCTAACAGGACCACTAAGTCATCCCTCTTAACCATTTGAACTCTTCTACACTGAAACCTCTCTTCCCCTTACATGGCAAACTATGTGAGGTGAGCAAAGGAAGAAATGAGAAGCAATGCTGGAAATCCTGCTGATCTGGTGGCTGACACTGATGCTGAACACTCTTTTGAGATGGGGCATATCACCATATCCCTCATGTCTCCATCAGTGAAGGAAAGGGCTCTCATGACCTCTGGGAGGATGCACTTCACCTTTATCTTTGCAAGGCTGATTGTTATTCCAAGAAGCACTTCAAGTGTAAACTTACAGCTTTCTCATTTTTGCTTTTGACAAATCCAGGCTTCATATTTAGGACAAAGTCTTCTGACCACAGAGAATAAAAAACTGTAAAGATTAAAAAAAAAAAAAAGAAAAAAAAATCCACCAAACTTTAAACCAAACTAAACCAGATCCTATAATGCTTGAAACAGTTCAGATTGTAAAAAAATATTCATTATTTATGTCAAATATAAATACACTGTTTCAGGGAAGATGAAGGACGCAGGTTTTATTCACTGTTGCCTGGCCTGCAGATGTTCCTCAGAAGTAACTTAAAAATGCTGAGGATGTTTCCCAGACATGTTTCTGCCTTGTCATAAATTACATTTGCGAGGGTTTTGTTTATAATGAATGGTGTACCTTTTTAATAATTTCGCTCTACTGTTTACCTACCCTGAGCACGAAAAATGTCTGGACATTGGTATGAGCATACCACCTCTGTGTTCCTTTCAAGATCCCAAGCTCTCTCTAAAGGACAGTAAGCATCAATACCCCTGTTTCACCACTGGAGTAACCTGAATGCATTGTTAAAAAGAAAAAAAAAAAATCAGAAACAAAACAAAACAAAACAACAACAACAACAACAACAAAAAAACAACAAAGTGACTGGCACAAAGTTACTCAACAAGCTGTTGGCAGAATTGTGAATAGAATAATGCAGGGCTCCTGAGCCTGGTCCTGCATTGTAATGGTTTTTGGTTGGACAATGGGAGATTCCACACATCCTTTCAGTAGATGCTTTTTTTAATCTCTCAGCCTTTGTCCAACCTCCAAATGACAGCTGCAAAGAGAAAACTTTCTTAACTCTGCACATTGGGGGAGATTTGTACATGTTTGATGGGCAAAATTTTCAAAAGCACTTAAACCCACATGAAAGGTAATGAAATTTAGGCTCCTACATTAGTCATGAGCTTACCACCTGGAAGTGGAGCCAGAGTTTCAAACAACTGCAATCTACATTGAGAAAAGTACACAAGACCCACTTTTCAAAGGTGCTTGGAGAGCTGCAGATGCCAAAATCACATCTCCAGGCAGATTTTCAGAGCCCTAACAGCCAGTGTGCCGAGGTCCTTTGTAAGACACTGATCATGTGTTCTACAAATCTAAATGGACCACTTTGGAAAATCTAATGCAACAGGGGGATTCTGTGAGGTTCCATGGGAGATGATCTGGTGATGGGAGCCAGAGAATGTTGGTGCAGCCACCAGCAGACCCTGAGGCTGGCCCAGCCATCATCCTGGAGAGCAGGAGCAAGCTGATGCACCAGGGTGGGCAGCCCATGCAGCATCCCCCACACCAGGCACCTCCAACATGCAGGGAACATGGGGGCAATGGCAAATCATCTTCTTGGAGAATGGCCCTTTGCCAGGGGTGTCATGGTTGCTTGTGTGACTTTCCTTCATATCGACCTCTTCCCAGCTCAGAGAAGATGCATAAACTTGCATCCAGGGTCAAGAGTCAGGAGAGGAGTCTCTGTGCTCAGAGTTTTGCTGTTTCCTGATAACTGAATTACTGGGGCTAGGAACCAGTGAACCAGGGATTACTCACTGCTGAGCTTGTGAAGCACAACATCCGCTGATTTACTAAGTATTCTCCTGCAAACTCTTCATCTCCCAGAGGGAACAAAGCAGTGTAAGGCATCCTGCCTATAATCTCTTCAAGCAAATTCTTCATTTTTATTGCTGTCACCCCTACGTGCCCAAATAGTGCTCTGTGTTCACCACTCTGTTTCAGTCACCAAAGTTAACAGAAACAGTTCACAAAAAGGTGATTTTCTAACCCATTTCATTCCAGGGTTCAGATTTATATCAGGGCATTACAGAGAGTAAATTACATAAACTTTTTATTTTCTTGAGCAAAGATATTTACTCATACCTGCATGACTGGAGGTCAGAGGGGCTGGGGAAGGAACTGAATATAATTCAAAGCATAAAAATCCCTTGAGTAGGTATGATGTGCTGGATTATTGCATATGTAAAAATGGAAATGAAGCACTGTCAAGTTTCCTCCATCCTGCAGCCTTGCTGACGCACAGCCCACAGTGCAAATGAAGATGCAGGTCATACAATGTGAAGTGCTCCCACTGTGCCTTTGAAAATAGCTTTCTCATTCTAAATTAGGCAACTCCTTCAGTGTGTTTTCAGCTTCACAAGTCCCTTACTTAGTCTCAGCATTTCATCATGATACACAGTCATCAAAAACTGACACAGCTGGAAGGGATGTCTGAACTGCCTAACACACTGGATGTGTGCTCATGGAGAAAGAAGTGTTTGAAGGAGCCACATGCAGCTCTATGTTTACAGGAATCTTCTGCCAAAAGAGTAACACAGCCATAACAGCATCTGAAAATGCAGTAAGTAAGAAAGTAAAGGCTGCATGGTGGGCCAGCAAGAGCAAGGAACCAGCCTGTACCTTGTAAATGAAGGATGAAAAGGGACTTGAGAATGTAGAGAGCTGCCTGTGTGAGCCACTTTCAAGGAGGGCACATTTGGAAAAG